TGTCTATGGTGTGGGGTGTCTTCTTTTTCTTTTTTGTCTCCTTTTTATTTTTTTTTATTTTTTTGTTTTTTTATCTCCCTTTCTCTATTTTTTTTTATTTTTTTTTATAAACGCATTATACACCATAATCTCTCTCTCACCCTGCCAGTGTTAAGGTTTTTTTAGGGTTTAGGGTTTAGGGTTTAGGGTTTAGGGTTTAGGGTTTTGGTGTTTAGGATTATGCTCGCCGCCCCACTTCTTATAAAAGCGCTCTATCTCTCAAGATGACAACCTCTCGCCATGTGTAAGCCTTTCTAGGGTTTAGGGTTTAGGGTTTAGGGTTTAGGGTTTGGGGTTTAGGGTTTAGGGTTTGGGGTTTAGGGTTTGGGGTTTAGGGTTTAGGGTTTGGGGTTGTTTGGTTGTGGTGTTTAGGGTTTAGGGTTTAGGGTTTAGGGTTTATCTCTCTTTTTTTAGGGTTTAGGGTTTAGGGTTTAGGGTTTTGTCTCCTCCTGCAGCGTATGTGGGGTGTTCTGTCTCCTTTTTTTTTGTTTTTTTTTGTCTCTTCTCTTTTTATTTGTTTTCTTTTGCTTTTGTGTCTCCTTTTGTTTGTCTCTCTCTGTCTCCTTTTTCATTTATTTTTTTATGTGTCTCCGTTTATTTCTTTTCTTTTGTCTCCTTTTACCTGTCTCCTTTTTTGTCTCCTTTTGTCCCCTCTTTCTCTATCCATCTCCTTTTCTCCTTCTATTTATCTGTCTCCTTCTGTTTACCTGTCTCCTTCTATTTATCTGTCTCCTTTTTTCTATCTGTCTCTATCTGTCTCCTTTTGTCTATCCCTCCTCTTTCATCCACCTGTCTCCATTTTTAAGTGTCTCATTTTTATCTTAACCGCCTCCTTTTCTCTGTCTCCTTTTTATCTGTCTCCTATTTATCTGTCTCCTCCTATGTCTCTGTCTCCTTTTATCTATCTGTCTCCTTTCATCATTTTTATATGTCTCCTTTTTATCTGTCTCCTTTCTATCTGTCTCCTTCTATTTATCTGTCTCCTTTCATATTTTTTATCTGTCTCCTTTTTATCTGTCTCCTTTTATATTTTTTATCTGTCTCCTTTTATATTTTTATCTGCCTCCTTTTTATCTGTCTCCTTTTTCTTTAGGCCTTCACCTGAGCGGGCCCCTCCCCCCCGGGCGCAGCCCCGCTCTGCGCTGCCGCATGCACAGCAGCAGCAGCAGCAGCAGCAGCAGCAGCAGCAGCAGCACCATCTGCTGCAGCAGCAGCAGATGGACC